ACTGTCCCGATTTCACTACCGAAGCGTACGACCCTTTTACCTTAGTGGTCATCTGCTCTTTTTGGAGAGCGAGATCGCGAAACCATCGATAGTTATACTTACCAGACTTCGATTCTGCCACGAGTTGTCCACGAATAGGCTCGGGCAAAGCACGTGAGTAGATATAAAGGACCTGGTTGTCTTGTAGGTTTAGTCCAGGTACCTGCAACAGACGATCAACTTCACGCAACAAAGCTTCAACCGAAGTCCAACGTTTCTGGCCAATGGTGGTGAGTTCGTCGAAGGCCTTATCGGTCGTCGTCTCAGCCAGAAACCTCTCCAATGTTTTGGAGAAATTGCTCAAGATTCAGTGTGTTCGCCCACTCACCAACGTCTTCAAAGCCAGCGGCATTGGCTTCGGCCAGCACCCATGCCTTAGCCACTCCTCCCAAACAAGATGTGGAGAATGCGACCTGACTCTCAAGCTCAATGGGTGTTGTCCCTACGAAAGTCTGGATTTCGTCAATCCACAACAACAGGTTTTCTTCCTTAAACGGTTCTTCCTTCTTAGCCGGTTCTTCTTTCTTCTCGGCTGGTTCTTCTTTGTTTCCTGCCGGTTCCTGGGACTCTTTCTTCGAGGGTCCAGGTTTGTCTTCCTTCCGCATTGCATCTTTCAGAAATTTCTCTTGGGGTGGTTTCCTTTCTACTTCCCCCTTCTTCGCCTCCTCAAAACTCACCTTGTCCTTTCCTTTCATCATTCTCATCATAGTTTCTAATGAGACAGTGTTAGAATCTATCTTGTTTTCAAGATGAACAAGATAAGCCATAATAGATTGCAACAAGGATTACAGATCAGTCTCAGCTTCCTTGAAGTGAAACCGTGAACCCCCCTTGCTTTATAAGGTCCTCGACCCTCCGACCGGTTTCCATCATCTCAACAGCAGTTTAAGCGGTCTCAAGTTCATTCTCTGCAGCTCGCAGGTTGAACTGTCTGTGAACGTGCTGTTCAGCTGCTGGACCGGCACCATGTATCTCACCAAGCAATTGACGAAGAAGGCCCTTAAAGTTTGCCTACTTGCGTCAATCTGCCCACGAGTTTTCAGTTCCCCCCCCTTCAGCATTGGCATAGACAATGAGAGGGATAGGAAAGAAGAGAAGTGGAATGAACCGCATCAGAATGGAGGCACGCAGACTTTTCCAGTGAGAGTTCATTTTCCTACACATATAAATGCTGCACAATAAATAAAATCAAAAGACAAAAATAAATTCCACAACAAGAATAATCAACAAAAGAAATGAGTTGTCAATCAGTTTCTCTATTTTAAGTTTGCTGTCTGTTTTCTATGAGATGACGTTCTACAGCTACAGGTACCGCAGCCACGGCCAGTGTGATCAAGACAACAGCACACTTGTGAGTACACACGGCAACCACAGACAATCAACAGGTAAGTAGAAAGCCAGCACAGCAATACAATCAATGGTTAGCTCCTAGTCTACCATCTGTAGAAGCAATGCAATCATCAACAACAAGTGCACACTTACACTCTCAGCAGCCTGTGTGCATGCCACGTGTCACACCTGGCTTGCCAACGCAGCAGTACTGCCACATCAGCATCAAGGACCGGAACTGTCTACAAGGAGGGATGCCATGTTGCAGTGCAGGTCTGCTACACACTCAACACTGGTATGCCACTTCAAATGCAGCATCAGCAGGCAACAACGACATAGGTATGTGCCACATCAGACCATGCCCTGCATTTCACCACATGCCACGTCAACAGTACCAGCGCCACGTCAGCCCGTTGCCAACTAAGCTCTTGCCGGTGTAGATCTTCAATGCAGCCTCGTCATCATCTTCAAGGGATTGTTGCTCGCACGTGCAATACTACCATGTCTAGACTTGCAGTATGACTGCGCGTGTTATTAAACGCGTTTCGTTTTGCAGATGCGGCACTTCCCACTTACCTGGGTGCCACTTCAGAACCTGACAGCAGACAGCAGATTGCGATGAAGAAGTTTGCTCTGATACCAAATTGAAATGAACCCTGTCTTGCAGATGCTCAGAAGTCGTCAAACCTCAGTAGTCTCATTATTTGCATGAAAGTCTCCAAATCGTGAAGTGATATCTCACACAGTAACTCGTTACCATCACAAGAAGAAAGTGGAGGGGGAACAGACAAAGGAGAAAAAGAAAGATCACACAATAATCCCTTAGATCCCATTTCGTCTGCGGGCTTCCTCCCTCTCCACATCAACAATGATAACAAGTATATTCCTGATCACACACAGTAGTGGCACGGGGCACTATAACTCGTGAAGACCATGACACTTCAACTCGTGAAGACCATGAAGACATAGCAGATTCGGGTGTCGCCGTCAACCTCAGGTGAGTACCTGATCCCCTTCATCCACAGATCCCGATCTTCCTCCTTCACGCAACCAGTTACCTTATGTAGTCAGCGTAGACAGTGCCACGTCAGCAATTGCGATAGGTGGCATATGCCACATCAGCATGAAACCAGAGGCAGCGCCACATCAGCATGCAATGTAGACCAGAGGTAGCGCCACGTCAGCATGCAATGTACACCAGAGGTAGCGCCACATCCGCATGCAATATAGACCAGAGGTAGCGCCACATCAGCATGCAATGCAGACCAGAGGTAGTGCCATATCAGCATGCAATGTAGACCAGATGTAGCGCCACATCCGCATGCCACCTCAGCAAGACTGGCGCAATAATGCAGAAGCGCCAGCATGCTGCCTCCCACCTTGTGCAGTTGTCCGCAACGCCTGTGCACAGCCAGCATGTAGCCAGCGTCGCGCCAGCATGAAGCCAACGTCTAGTCAAATTCGAGCCAGCGTCAAAGCAGCATAGCAAGCCT